TGCCAAATATTCACAACCTGAGCATCTCTACCCCATTGCTTCTCGAGTCCGAAGGAGAGGTCTGTCTCCGACTATCAAAGACTGACACCCATCTTCAATGGTCATTCTCTCTGTTCACCCAGCAGGGAATATCAGGCCCAGAGACGCATGCCACAGGTGAGATCGGACTTTACAACGTGAGCGGAGCATCCCAGGCTTCCTCGCGTTTCCGGTCTCTGGATCGGCTCATCTCCCCATCTCACTCTCGTACCATTGCAGATTCGACAGATGCCAATGGCTTGGTGGGGCTACCGGTTTACCAGACCTTCAATCGAGTGGTTGAATATGCAGACTACTTCCGAGGAGTGAAGAACGTATTTTCCAATGGACATGAAGCTACTGGTCTCGTGTCCTTGCAGAATTCTCCAAGTGCGAATGGCATTTGTGACCCCGTTCTCCTCGACAATTTCCTCCAGGTGGCTGGTATCCATACCAACTGTTTATCTGAGACTCGCGAGGATGAGGTCTTTGTCTGTAGTGCCATTGGGGACATATTCTTGAGTGATACCTTTATCACGAGAGATAAAAAGTGCACAAGAACTGCCACAACATATACCAGCTATGATCGACCTTCCAAGAAGCAATTCATGAGTGATATCTTCGTGTTTGATTCCGAGAGCGGCAAATTGCTTCTTGCCATCATGTCTGCGACCTTTACCAGTGTTCTGATGTCGAATTTGTCTCGCGCTCTCAGCAGACTGAACAAAGATGCTCCTACGTCAGTCCCTCAATTAATTGAGAGAAAGCCCCAGTTTGAGACCCAAGTGGCCTCGATATCAAACTCGCAGGAATCTCTGAAAGCAGTGAGTGTTGGGGTTGGACACGTAGAAGCTGTTCAGGAGATGTTCCACACTCTCCTAGGTATCCCGTTGAATGAGTTGCTTCCATCATCAGGCCTTGAAGATATTGGTGTTGATTCGCTCATGCGGACTGAAGTCTTGGCTGAGATCAAAAAGCGCTTTGACTTCAATTTGTCCGTCACTGCCTTGATCGAAATTCCCGATATTCAAAGTCTGGCCAACACGATATTCCCAGATGCTTCCTTGAAAACCATACAAGTCTCCACTCCAGTGGAAGCCATTAATGAAATCCCAGCGAAGCAGATGTCGAGGCAAATCAACCACATCAACCCAGTCCCCATTCCGGGCGACTCACTGGCTGAGTTATCAAGCGATGTGTTTGGCAATCTCAGGACAACTACCGTACACAGCCAGAAAGCCCAGTGGACTGGCTTTTGTGATTCCGTCTTTCCCCAGCAGATGGCTCTTGTGACAGCATATGTTGTCGAGGCATTCCAAGATATGGGAATTGCGCTTGACTCCTTCCGGCCCGGACAGATCATTCCACAGCTTCCAGTGTTGCCTCAACATCAGCAGGTGAAGGATCAGCTCTATGCAGTATTGGAATTCTCCAACTTGGTCCAAAGACAAGGAAACGTTATCATAAGAACAGCGAACCTCATCCCGACCACGCCTTCACTTTCCCTGCACGAACAAATCATCCGAAAGTACCCTCGTCATGAGTCAGAGCATAATCTTCTTCACACCACTGGCTCCCAATTGGCTAAGTGCTTGACTGGTTCGGCTGATCCTCTGGCCCTTCTCTTCCAGGATAAGAAGGCACGTGAGCTAATTGGAAATGTATACACGCATGCGCCAATGTTCCTTTCTGCCACAATGCACTTGACTCAATTTCTCCGAGACGTCCTCAGCAAGGCTGACCCCAGTAGAGAGATCAAGATCCTCGAGATCGGTGCTGGCACTGGTGGCACCACCGGCTTCCTCCTTGGTCAACTAGCGGACGTCTCTGGGCTACGCTTCCAATACACCTTCACGGATATTTCATCCTCACTAATTACACTTGCGCGAAAGAGGTTCCAAAAGTACAACTTCATGTGCTATACAACTCTCAACATCGACCAGGATCCTCCCGAAGCAATGTTAGGACAGTACGACATCATCATCTCCTCAAACTGTGTTCACGCCACTCCCAGCATCATGAGATCAACCAAGAATATCAATAGCCTTTTGCGGCCTGATGGAATTCTTTGTCTAATTGAGCTGACCCGCAACTTGCTCTGGTTTGACCTGGTCTTTGGATTACTCGAGGGCTGGTGGTTGTTCGACGATGGTCGGCAGCACGCGCTTGCTAGCGAATATGCTTGGGATAAGGCCCTTCGCCAGGCTGGCTATCAGTGGGTTGACTGGAGTAGTAACTCCTCAAAGGAATCTGAGATCCTACGGTTGATTGTGGCATCCCCTGCTGATGTCGGCTCCCAAGAACGCGCCCTAGTCACGGAAGAGTCGGTGACTTTCGCGGAGAAAAATGGTGTTCAACTACTGGCGGACATTTACTACCCTACAGAAGTGGAGACATCGAGCCGATCCCGGCCTATTGGTACGTGAAGCAGAGCTTGAAATATCTCAATGATGAACGAGGACTGACAATTTCCAAAGCCCTTATGATTCATGGTGGTGGTCATGTCATGCTTTCTCGGAAGGATATCCGGCCTAAGCAAACAAAAATGTTACTTGCTGCAGGGTTCTTGCCAGTAAGCATTGATTACCGACTATGCCCAGAGGTCTCCCTCTTGGAAGGGCCCATGGAGGATTCTCGGGATGCCCTGGAGTGGGCTCGTCAGGTCCTACCAGGGCTGGCGCTGCAACGCCCCGACGTAAAGCCCGACGGGGAGCATGTGGTGAGCATTGGGTGGTCAACCGGTGGACACCTTGCCATGACGCTTGCCTGGACTTCTGCTGAGATTGGCGTCCGTCCTCCGGAGGCAATTCTTTCGTTCTACGGTCCGACGGACTATGAGGATCCCTTCTGGAGTCACCCAAACCTACCATTTGGTCATTCTGCTCTGTCAACTGATGCATACGACCTGTGGGAAGGCATCCAAGACAAGGCTATCACTTCATACAATCCCCCATCCTCGTTGGGTGGCTGGATGAATCCTAGTGATGCCCGCAGTCGTATAGCATTACACATGAACTGGACCGGTCAGACAGTTCCTGTGCTACTAAACAGTCAAGGCCCCAATCGTAGGAACCAAACATCCGAATTGGAACCACCGAGCATTGAGGCTATCCAATCCATCAGTCCTTTGGCCCAGATCCGTGTTCGCAAATACCAGTCTCCTACTTTTATCATCCATGGTACCCGTGATGACCTGATTCCCATTGCCCAGGGGCAAAGAACATATGATGCCCTTTCCGATGCTGGTGTCGATTCCGAGATCAGAGTACTCGATGCAGTGCATTTGTTTGATATATATCCGGATATGGCAGATGACCAGGAGGCATTGCAGGCAGTTCAAGATGGGGTTGCATTCTTGAAGTCACATGTAAAGCCTTGATATGGTGTTACTCGTTCAATGGCATGAAGAGAAGGACTAGACTATTACTTTAAGGATATGTATATAATTTCGGGGGCTTGTGGCTATTGTTCACATTTTTTGAAATCCGGGTATTATTATTTGATCCGTTAATACGAGATGACCGTCATTTTTCCTCGGTATAAAACATCCCCGTTCTAGCTAAAGGGTCAACAATGGTAGCATAATTATACTTGCGTCAAAATAGGATGGATTTACCACCGTCACATCAAAAAGAAATAACCCTCCTAATGACGCGAACTAGTGGGGTAGGCAGTTTTGGGAAGCTTCGATCTAGCTGCAACAGACACCCATCTGTTATGCCATGATCATCATCGTCAAAATTATGCAAATTCGGCTGTTCAGTGACCCGGTTCACTCATTACTGTCTTACACCGCTAGTTCTAGAGATCTACATAGCCAACCAGCCACACCAACAAGCGCCTATGCTGTCCTTTAGATATGCAGGGTGTTGGAGTGAAATGCAAACATAAATCGTACACAACAGTGAGATGGTAATTCGGGCCTTGTTTGACTCCTCATCGTGTACTCTTGCAGATAGACGATATGTGATCGATCCAAAATAACGATTTCAAATTAAAGATTTTCTGTATATTGTACTATCAAAATACACTTACTACAATTGAACATCGACTTGATCTTTCATTCCCTATCGGTTTTTTCTATCTTCTGAACTAATCTAGGGATGAATGAGAACCAATTAATGACCTATATTCATCTGTTGTTGTCGTGTCCTTTTTACTGTGTATGTCCATTGGCTGGCCGCGCTATATCGTAGCATAGGCCGTATCTTAAAATGTGTAATGCAACCTCCTCAGGTTCCGTTTAAACGTTAGTCCTTGCATGAAAACTACTCGAATTCTCACGTTGAGCTGATTGAATGCCGGTATTTTACTATCATATGGGCGGGCTGCGTTGGTGATAGTCCCATCCTCCACCCAATCCTCAGGAATTCACATATCGTCAAGGGGTTGATGTCGTCATTCACAGCCGCCAGTGTAAGCGCCACAATCCTCGGTATGCACCACACCCCGTCATGCCAGCTCGGCAGAGAGGTTTTATGCAAGCTACCAACGTTATATTCGCAGTATAACGGTACCAATAATCAATATATTGTGTAGCTCACACCCATTTTTGTATTTCATTGTATGCATTTCAAAAGAAGACCGTACTCAATATTGGCGGCGTGCATGTTACGAGTTCTCTGTCGAGCTGGCATGACAGGATAGTGCTCCAGGTAGCACCACATCAAAATTAGGGACCAGCTGCATGTGGAGCTTACGTGGAACAAGCACGGAATGGAGATCGATTGCCGTTTACGCCCGCGACGCGAGGGTCGCGGGAGGGTTGCGGGAGGCGCCCCAAGGCTTGAGACACAATATTTGTCAGCTATATTACTGCACGATGAACGTATAGGGTATTCTGTGTACATCATTTACATTGGGTTGGTATTTAACAACAGACAGATAGGGGCTGTCCTCGAACATAGTCACGCTGTCTCTTGGTCTCATAATTTGAATATTTTCGGCGCCGAGACTGAGCTGTGTCCTCAACCCCAGTAAACATGATTGTCGACTTGCTCTCCATGGAAGATACAAGAGCCTCACTTGTTGGTGCCGGGCTCTTTGTTCTGCTAACTTGGGCTCTGCGATACATCTTGTCTCCAGGCTCCAAGCTGCCGATTATCAATAAGCACAGTGTCTTCGGGTTCGGGCAGCCCTCCAAGAAGGGCTGGGTTTCTGGTGCTGCCAGCTTGTTAAAAGATGGGTTCGCCAAGGTTTGTTCATTCTCTGCTATCTATTTAAATTGATACTCACCACACTGGAAACCAGTCTGCAAAAGGGTTCCGCCTCGTCACCGACAATGGCTGCCAGATTGTTGTATCTCCGAAGTATCTCGAGGAGATCCGCCAACATCCCGACCTGAGCCGTGATAAAGCTTCCGCTAAGGAGCTTATGTCGCATCTGCCTGGGTTCGAAGTTTTCCGAGAAGGATCGAAGGACGAACGCATTCTCCACGACGCAGTGTTGACTAAATTAACAAGAACACTGGGTAAGTGAACCATTGCTAGCATACTACGAGGAATTTATACTGATACAGAGACTAGGGCGTGTCACCGAGCACCTCTCCCATGAAACAGCGCTGAGCTTTGAGACACACTGGACGGATGAACGTGGTGAGTAGACCTTAATTCTTGTCTCATCTGCGAGAAAGCTGACAGAAAAAAGAATGGCATGCGGTACCACTGCGATCGAGCATTACACAGATCATTGCTCAGACGTCTTCCCGTGTCTTCTTAGGCGAGAAGCTCTGCAGAGACCCTGAATGGCTACACATTACCATAAACTATGCAGTCCATGTGATTACTGCTACTGAGCAGCTCCGTCAATGGCCCCATAGCCTCCGGTATATTGTTCACTGGTTTCTTCCAACCTGCCGTAGGCTGCGTCAAGATATGCGAGAGGCCTTGGCCCTGATTCTCCCAGTTTTGAAAGAGCGACAAGAAGAGAAGGCGGCTGCCAGAGCAGCGGGCAAGACACCAACTTCATACAGCGATGCCATTGACTGGATGGAAGATACCGCGAAAGGCCGTGCTTATAACCCAGCTATCTCCCAGCTCCTTCTGTCCATGGCAGCCATCCACACCTCGGCTGACATGCTGACACAGGTCTTGTTCGACATTGCTGAAAGGCCCGATCTGGTGGCAGCATTGCGCGAAGAGATCATGACGGTTGTGCGTGACAATGGCTGGAGTAAGATCTCGCTATACAAGCTGGTTTTGATGGACAGCACCATCAAGGAGAGTCAGAGACTCAAGCCTATTGCCATTAGTATCGTAACCACCTTCTCTAGATTGAATGAAAAGAAGCTAACATGGAAGTTAGCACCTATGCGTCGTCTGGCAACCAAAGATGTTTCTCTATCCGACGGAATGTTTATCCCAAAAAATACGACAGTTCTGTTCCCTGCCGATGCCATGTGGGATCCCGACTATTACGATCATCCACAGGAGTTTGACCCCTACCGGTATATGCGCATGCGCGAGTCCCCAGATCGACAGACTCAAACAGCCGCCCAGCTTGTCTCGCCTTCACCAAACCACCTTGGCTGGGGCTTCGGACAGCACGCCTGTCCGGGTCGGTTCTTTGCTGCTAATGAGCTCAAGATCGCGCTTTGTCAACTTTTATTGAAGTATGACTTCAAACTAGACCAAGAACGCCTGCCAGAAGTCCGTTGTCATGGAGCCTCTCGAACTGCTGATCCGGTTGCTAAACTTGTGATTCGGAGACGTGAGGACAATGCCGCCGTTCAGGACCTGCCATGTATGGTGTGAATGAAACAGAATCAAGTGGGGACGAGGAATTTTACTAGAGATAAGCTACCTGATCTCATAAATTTATACGTTTGGCTAGTATACTAGATCCATTGAACCTCCTAATACAGGTTCCTCCAGGGTTAAAGAAATTTCAATTCCTCTGTGGCTTCACATAAATATCCTGATATCGCGTCCCTAGCCGGAGTCCTAAGCATATCAACACTTGATGCGTTGAACCACCAGTTTGTAAATAATTAAGTTCTTGGATCAATCAATCAATCAATCGAAGTTCAATTAACCTGTTGCAGTCTGACTAGGTGCGTATGACTATGCAGGCGCTTCATCCAACTGAAGCAAGAACTCGAAGCCAAACGCCGAGCGGGATCTCTCCCAGAGTATTGGGTGATCAATCGGTGAAGGTTATGGCCCCGAAGAATCTTTGTCACGGTGTCAAGCCAGTTGTCAAAGTCCTCTCTCTCCTTCAGTACAGGTTCAATCTTGTAGAGCACAAAGCTCCCTATCTCAGGTAAACCTTCTCCTTGGTCTCCTCCCAATGCCGTTTGGTCTGCATCTTCAACAACCATCCAATCGTTGCCTGTGGCTGCGCCAGGTCCCCATAACGGAGGTTGCGCCATTGTTTATGTAAATTATCCACGACGTTGGTTGATTGATCCGGTTTCTCGTGTAGGGGGGGGGAGGAAGGCTTGATGTTGGGGTCAAATGCCCCCTGGAATCTGTTTGCTGTAGGGTATAAACCCTATAAAGCTCTGTTTGTGGGTGTCAAAAAACCGTCCACCCCACGAAAAATGAACGGGATGCGACAGCGAGATATGGTTCCCTCACTGCGCGAATCGCTGTAGATGTAGCTATGTAGTTGATTTGACGATGATTTGTGGAGTCAAACCTCGGAATCCCCACAGTGGGGCCGTTGTTTTCGTCCAATGGGGTTCTCGTCAGAAATCACTCGGTGCGACTCTCCCTGCGCAGCCGAGTAAATGAAAGTGGTAAATGTAAAAAGCCTCCTTTAATGAGTGAATCGCAATAAAAGCGGGTCAAGCGAGGTGCTCATAACCTATTGGGGACTACAATGTAGGGGCCCGAAAGTTAGGAGGGAGAGAGTTGTATTGGAAAGGGGAGACGAAACTCCCTAACTATCTATCTAACTATCCGTGGGTGATGCCCGAATCCTATGGCACCCACCACAACACAGAGTATACAGATAGATACTAATCTTAAGGAGCGCGGAATCAGCCCATTCCTGTAACCCATAAAACCCACAAATTCCCCAAGCCCATGCACCCATACATAAGAAATATATAACGATTGCCATAAAGTGCACCCTCCACCTTCCATCTCTCACTTCTCCCTCACCTCTCTCTCACTTCTCTCTCTATCTCTGCACCCCCCTGCCTCAGTTTCAATTGATATGTACTGTGGTTTCCTGGCCAGTTGGTTGGTCTATTTGTCGACTCTGGCTGAGTTTCTCGTTTCACACCTAGATCCATTGCCGCGAGGCCTGTCGGTTCGTCATCGTGTTTCCTCCTCGAGTTCCACGTGCTGAAACTGTTGGAGGATTAAGTTCTTGAACAACGTCAACATATACTGACATGGAGACAGACGATCACTGATAAATGCCACCAGGATCGTAACACACATAAATTGTGCATTGAAGATCAGATCTCCCGTGTCACAAGCTTTGTAGTATTAAGATGAAAGATGTCTACATGGGAGATAACAAGAATCAACCTTGAGAGTTCTTATTTTCAAGATTCAATATTCAAAAATGACTTATAGAACTATGAATATGCGACTGGTAATCGAAAGCTTAGTATAATAGAACAATCTTTTTGTCGGGTTTATTGTTTGATGTTGACTCGAACCCAGGTAATCGTTACCAATTTCCGCCTAGAAAACATATTATTTTTGCTTTAAATCTAGAAATGAATCGTGGTTGATTATTTAAAAATATAATTCTCATCGCCCTTACACGAATAGGCCTGTTGGCGATCTCCAGAGACAGGGATCACTCAGGCAGTTTTCACAGTTGCTTTAATACAGTCTTCAAGAGTAGTCCAACCAGGTCGTCCAAAGAAGGTACGAATGAGGTTCTCGGCTCGTTGAGCTGGGACCACTTCTCCAACACTAGCCTTCTCGGTCAGTGGTGCATCTGGGATGAGTTTGTTCATAGGATCCGCCTTTTTCATAATCTCAGTGATATCGCTCCATACAAAGGGCGCCGCAGCCCCAAATAGTCGCTCCGAATTGACTTCTGTACTCAGCAAGCCAATGACGTGTAGTCGTGCGGAGTCCTCTACGTCGATGAACCATGCTATTTTCAACATGGCAGCTTAGCGATGTTGTTGGGATCCATTGGGGATTAAAATTTTTACTTACGGATGGGAACCACCTTGAACGGAAAGGGATCACCCTTGAGAAGGCCCCGAATCCATTTGTGGCCCGAGCTACCAATTTCGGGGTGAAGAGTTCGGCCAAACTGAAGACAGGAAATTGAACTGTTAGCCTAGCTCAGTGGATACAATAGATACTGTCGGGTTCGGGGCAAGCTCACATTCATCCATGGGAGAACTGTGTTCAGTACAAATGAAGGTTGATTCTCTTCCACCCATTTCCAGGCCTGCCGCTCGCCTTCAGTCTTGCAAACAGTGTATATCGAAACTGCAGTTTCCGGCGTAGATGTTTCCCAGGAATCTAAACATACTCAAAATCTGATCATACCCCAGGGAACTTACATGGATCACTCACCCGTGTCAAATCTAAAAGGCGTACTACCGTCGGGATATCCTGCGGCAACAATGGATGAAGCAAGTACCACGCGCTTGATCGAGGGTTCCCTGGATGCAGCACGAAGAACATTCAATGTCCCAGCCACAGTGTATCCTACAGGATCGCTGTTCGCTGGATCCCATGGCATAGCTTGGGCCTATTCTAATTAGATGATTTTCCTCCAAGAGTTTCAACTTGATACTAGTGAGAAATGCGGGACGTACCATATGAACTATCCCGGACACCCCGGTGAGCGCATGATCAAATGCGCTGGGATCTTTTAAATCCGTAATCAGAATTGTCTCAAACAATCCCTTGCCATAGCGCGTATCAAAGTACTCATTCAGCCAAGGTCGGGGTGTGCGGACAGTGCCACGAACGCGGTATCCAAGGCCTAGGAGGATATTGATAACGTGGGATCCAATGTAGGCGTTGGCCCCGGTGACCAGAACGGTCGATCCAGGGGGGAAAGTATACTGTGTCTTGGTCATTTTATTTCTAGGCTGCTTATTGACGACTAGAATGTATCGTAAAAGAAATAGATGTGCCACCAGAAAAAAGAAAATGGAAACCGGTGGGAGGGCGTCCGACTCTCTTTGCAGGCGGTAAAACTAGAAGACACGAGCGTCGACGGCCTCTGCGCCACTGGGAGCTGCTGCATATGATTGATGCATTGCATAGTAGAATTAGCTACAGTATAGACCGTATAGTGACAAGGAGAGGCGGGATAGGAGGGGCGGTGTGATACCTACGTGTACATTACGGAGTATAGTATTCTTCAAATCTGTGCATAGTAGACATTTGTCACGCTGGTCGATCGTCAATCGTGCAGACAATACTGAAGGGTGGAGTGGCTTGCTCCCTTGCGTCGGCCCGCAAAATTTCCCGTAACTGATTCAGCCGCACAGACACCAGAACACACAAAAAAAAGACAAAGACAAAGACGTAAATGAACGCGCAGTATACACAAACGGAAATTGAGTACGATAACGGAGTAAGGGAATAGCCAAATGGACAACTTGTCTTGCGGGCCTGGTTGGTACCCGTGGTACTCCTTACTGATGCTACGTCAGCTTCAGCTCAGCCAGCACGAGTACTGTGGCTTGCATAACTATGCATTAGATGAAAAATAGTCCATGACACATGCCGGTCGCCCGAGTTCACACAAATCACCTCTTGTTAGACGTCGCATTGGATTTGTTAGTCTCCAACACCAGCCGGCTTCAAGCCATTCAAAGCAGGCAAACTAGCTTCAATTCACTTGCCTTGAACAGGCTGAACTATTATCCAGTCACGCAATATGGGATCTCTACAAGATCAAGTACGTGTGGAGAAAATACTAGGCTTGCTCTGCGATCTTACTGACGGTTACTTAATCACACAGGTTGTAATCATCACTGGGGCCTCATCGGGAATAGGGCTAGTCACGGCAACTGCTGCCCTGAGAGAGGGCGCCCAGGTCCTAGGGGTGGATATTTCCTCGCCGCCGACATCACTTGTCGAGTGTCCAAAATTTGCATTCTGCCAGGGAAATCTAGTTGACCCTGGCACACCACAAAAGGTAGTATCAGCATGCAACGAGGCGTTTGGGAGGAGAATTGATGCGCTCTTGAACATTGCTGGTGTTATGGATCATAACTCGAGCGCAGATTCAGTTGTGGACAGCGTGTGGGATCGATGTATCGCTGTTAACCTCACTGCTCCCGTGAAACTGATGCGTGAGGTGCTCCCCATAATGCGCGAACAGAAGTCTGGCAGTATTGTGAATGTTGCCAGCAAAGCTGCGTTGAGCGGTGCAGTTTCGGGTGTGGCGTACACAGCGAGTGAGTTACCTCTTCAATCCAGTACCAGTTGTTGAGGGTGAATTGGGAATGACATGATCCACATCTAGGTAAGCACGGTCTTATTGGGGTCACCAAGAACGTAGCTTGGAGGTTCAAGCATGAAGGCATTCGTTGCAACGCCATATGCCCCGGTGGTGAGAATGTTCTTTTTTTTAATAGCCATCCTGCTCTCGTCTCTAATGGAAACTAGGTGTCAGCAACGATACAGGCATCCTTAAAGATCTTGACATCAACGCATTCGACAAGCATGCCCTAGCTGCCATGTCGCCAATACACGCGGCGCATTCTTCGGACAAGGAGAAGGGATATGCCATCACGCCAGATGACGTTGCTAATTGTCTGTTGTTCTTGATTTCTTCAGCCAGTCGGAGAATCAATGGCGCGGTGATTCCAATTGATAATGCTTGGTCGACGATTTAATAAGCTTTCAAAGCTAGGCGCAGCATTGTTGTGTAAAGAATCATCTATTTTGTTTCCAGCTACATAAAAGACTATAAAATGAAATATACAACATAGATATTAATTGAATCCTAGATCAACCCTTCTCTAATTGCGTCTAACCTCTTCCGAGGAAGATTGGAGTACATGGGACAGATCTTTGACACATGGTATAACATATTATAGGTTATTCAAACAAAATTGGCCTTCAAAGAGGGAGGGAAACAGAAAGAGTGGAAAAAGAATATATGAACGCGATGCATGTGATGTTTATTAACATGGTGCTTGTAACATAACCCTTATTCATGTTACTTGTGAACATGAACGTCTTGAATAGAATAAATCTACGTGCACTGTTTTTGATACAAGGAGAAACTGATGATACCTTCCAATCATTCAGCTGGTCTTGCATTCCGTGGCTCCTCAGTCCTTGCAGATGGGCGAGAGGATCATGCGGCGTCCTCTCAAGCCCCCTGTGCAGTGACCTTCACTACTGCATTATCATTGTAGAATATTCCTTTTTTTGATTTTATGTCTTACGAATTATGTGCCCTTTAGTGAGGTGGAGACCAAAGTAGGCCGTAAACTAAAGAGGTACTACGATGCTCTGACGATCAGTGGCCAAAGCCAGCCAGCCACTGATCGACCCAGGGCTTTGGACTATCAGTGAAGTTCTTTCCACTGTCCCCTGGCAGAAATAAAAGTGCATAAACTCTGTCGGATCCAGCATCTCCTTTATGCCGACCTCTTATAACCCTCCTTGTTCGCGAGGCGTTAGCGTGGGATTTCTATCATTTCGCAAATCCTCTCTAGATGAATGATGTCGCCCGAAGTACTACCCCATATCACCACCCCGGCTCTCATCCTTCTGGTCGCCTTGCCAGTACTGTTTTTCTTTTTGACATCATCTCGCAAATCGGAACTCCCTTTCATCAATGCACGAAGAACATTTGAATTCGGTAAATCACGCGCACGGGCGCGATACATGAAGGATGCTGCCACGTTGATCAAGAAAGGATTGAGAGAGGCATGTTCATAATCAGAATTAAGAGATCTCTCGCTAATTTGCGGTTGTATCTAGGCAGGAGTCTTTCGCATCATCACTGATAACGGCACAAGGACAATGCTGGCGCCCAAATATGCCAACGACATCCGCAGCCTCCCTGAGCTGAGCTTGACTGATAACTTGGCGACTGAGCTGCATGTCAATCTTCCTGGCTTTGAGCCATTCCGGGTTACGGCCAACGATAACATCATCCAAGATACCGTCCGCGTCAAAATTACGCAAAATTTGGGTGAGTACCCTCGCAGGCTATTTATGGACGCCACTAAGATAAGACCTATTCGTTAGCAAACGCCATGATTCCGCTTTCCACAGAGGCTACCCACGTTCTACAAACGCAGTGGACGGATGAAACAGAGTGGCACGATCTGCAGTTGAAACCTGCCATCCTAAAGATGGTTGCACAACTTTCTTCCAGGATCTTCCTTGGCGACAAGATCTGCCGCGATTCTGAATGGCTTGATATTACGATAAACTACACTGTCAATGCATTTACGGCTGCTCAGGAGCTCCGTCTCTTGCCAGAATTCCTGCGACCATTTGCCGTCCGATATCTGCCAACGAGTCGAAAGGCTCAGGCACAGCTCAGACAGGCAAGGAAAATCATTGACCCAGTTTTGAAAGAGAGACGTGCTGCTGAGCGCGCAGGGAAGGGCTTAGAATATCATGATGCTATGCAGTGGCTCGAAGATACTTCTAAAGGACGCAACTACGACCCAGCGGCGGCACAGCTTGCCCTCTCTGCGGCTGCCATCCACACTACAACTGATCTATTCACCCAGACAATTCTCGACATCTGCAGTCAGAAAGACCTCATTCACGCCTTACGGCAAGAAATTATTACCGTGGTCCAGGCTGAAGGATGGAAAAAGACGACCCTTTACAAGCTGAAATTGATGGACAGTGTGATCAAGGAGTGCCAGCGGTTGAAACCTATGGCCATTGGTAAGTTCATTATATCACCGACTATGAAACTACACAAAGAATGTCCTAACAAAGACTCTCAGCGATTATGGCACGCGTCGCCCGTAAAGATGTCGTCCTTCATGACGGACAAGTAATCCCCAAAGGCGACAAGATACTTGTATCCTGCGATAGAATGTGGGATGAAAATATCTATCCCGACCCACTCAAGTTTGATCCATATCGCTTCGCAAACATGCGCACCACGGATAACCCCAAGAATGAAGCCGCCGCTCAACTTGTTTCGCCATCGCCCGAGCAGATGGGCTTTGGTTTTGGACAACATGCTTGCCCGGGGCGCTTTTTTGTAGCGAATGAGATCAAGGTAGCTTTGTGTCATATTCTGTTGAAGTATGACTTGCGATTGGCAGACGGTTGTGAGCCCAAGGTGATGAAGTTCGGGATGAGATTGGCAGCGGATCCGTTGGCAAAGGTGTCTATCAGACGGAGGAAGGAGGAAATTCCTCTATAAAATACCAGTGCAATATAAACCCTTGGGTACTACAGTTGACTTGGGTGGATAGATCGCTAGACCTAGTTACCAGCTAGTGATAATAGAAGTCCCCCTCTAACAAGACAACTAGCAATTGGTAGCCTTTGAATGCATCTATATGCAGGACACCGAGAGGAAATTACAGTAGAGATAGACGATAACATTATATAAGGATACTCTCTACGACGGAGTGAGCCCTACTAGGCTATGAGCTTGCTCACTCTTAGATCATGTTAGGCTGAATACTGGCTTAGCTACTACTAATAAAATTTATGTAGTAACATTTTTCTACTAACTAGGTTATCAGTATAATCAATGTTTTCATTCTTCTGCCTATTTCCCCCGTCGGTCTTGATGACAAGGATTTGTGACCTTTTACTCCTACTACTTGACATATGCTCCGGTTCTTGTGTACTTCATCACCTACAATGGCTATAACCAATATTTTCATAAGCGGGGGCATATATCTGATAGCTAAATATCTAGAACTGGCGGATAGAAAGAAATGAAAATCGAAATTCATAAATTATCAAATCAAAAATCAGAACAAAAGTCCGTAATGACACTGGTAATCTCTCATGTTTATTTGTCATTTGTTTTCTTTTTCTTTTTTTATATTTACATTTTATTTGATTTGATCTGTATTTTGCTTTTTTCATTACTTTTCTTGTGTCTAAAATATAAGGTCTCCAGCAGCATGGATAGGAACATCATTACTAGTATTGGATGATAATCCTTACAGTGTATCCGCCCACATATCCACCCAGCCCCAGCTTACATTCTCTCGCATGCTTCATGTATGCATGACGTGTGGCGCTGCTGAAGGTCAGCAGATCTGCAATCAAACCTATACTCTTGATGGAGAGTCTGCAGATTCCTAGAGACCCGGCCTCGGTAAAGACCGGATGGACTCGCTTTTTCCGAAGGAAGCTCTATCCATATAATTACTGTGAAACAATCTGCACTACACTTTCCCTCCTATCCACAACTCACTTCTCGAGCTACCAGCTATGGCAAACTCCGACCTACTCTCAGCTGTGTTGGAATATCGCAATGAACTCGCTGCTGTTGCGGAATTTCTCCGGAAGCTAGCGGGCATCTGCTGGACCTTGAATTACTTCAGTATGATGTACGTTTCCGGGAGAGAGAAAATACCCAATACAGGCATATTCCCTCTTTGCAATGACATCGCATGGGAGTTTGTGTACGCCTTCGTCCACCCAGCGGCAAGTGCGCATTGGGAGGGTGGTGTGAAAGTATGGTTCATGGTTCATGTCGCTGTGGTCTTGTACATTCTCAAGTTTGCGCCAAATGAATGGAATGATGTGCCAATCGTAAAGCGAAACATCTATCTCATTTATGCGGTGGTCATTCTTGGATTCCTTGCCGGTCAGCTATCGTTCGCGGCGGAGGTTGGGCCTGAAATGGGTTTCTTCTGGGGCGGTGTCCTCTGCCAAACGCTCGCAAGTCTCGGGCCGATATGCCAACTTTTGTCTCGGAATAGTACTCGCGGCGCTTCCATTATGACCTGGTATGTCTTTTCTCTCTCGCACATGCGACCCTCACGTATTCTCCATTTTTTGAATGCTAATTCGAAGGCAGGTCACTACGTGCAATTGCGACTTTTGGGGGATTTATCAAATTATCAATCTACTACATCTGTGACACACCTGCAGGTCCCTGGTTTGAGAGCCCGATGTGTCAATTCTATATTGGGTTGACTGTTATACTTGACATCATGTATCCGTGTCTGTATTATGTGATTCGACGTCAGGAAAAGCGCAATACCGCGGCGGAAAAGAAGACCAAATAGACACACATGCCTAGGAAAGGACGAAAATGATAAAAGGACCCATGGTTGGGTAGTCTTTCGGTGAGGCGTGGTGCAAATAGATAGACGATTGGTGGCAAAGTTGAATAGGTAGCGCCGGTCAAATTTCTGGTGTATTTACTTATGCGATCCTTATCATTCGAAGGAAATGTCCTGTGATCTCCGTATATACCGAATGATTATGCGTGCAACGTATCACTTAGGACCAGATCCAGAGAGCATAATTATTGAGATCATGTTAGCTAGCCACGGTACGGATGGATCAAAACAAGATATCAAGCAAGTGTGTACCTAAATAGAAGGCCGTGGAACCATAGCCAAGACAAAAGAATGTCGGCGACAGGTCCCTTTGGACATGCATTATTATGTTAATGAGAATTTCTCATCGCCACCATGCACTAGAGCTAGCTGCAGCAAGGGGCTGAGGCGGTCACATAAAGGCTTGGGGCAGTTTTATTGGGCTCGGGTCATCAAGTTGCGATTCATTAATTTGTGCACTACATCAATGCTTCATCACTTAAGTTTGCCCTTGACTTGTGTTTCATTCAATATCAAAAGCCATGGAAAGCCCCAAATTTAAGGTCATCATTGTTGGGGGGTCAATTTCTGGGTTGACCTTGGCGCATTGCCTGGCAAAAGCGAACATTGACCATGTTATCCTTGAGAAACGAGCTGAGATAGCTCCCCAGGAAGGTGCCTTCATTGGAATTTGGCCAAACGGAGCTCGAATACTACAGCAACTCGGAGTTTATGCCAGCCTTGAAAAGCTCACGGCACCGCTGACGCGGATGCACATTTCCTTCCCGGATGGATATTCATTCAGCAGTTTGCTGCCCAAGAAAGTCCATGAAAGGTTTCATCACATACTCTTTGTACAGAAGATGATTGTTCTGACCTCGTGTATTACAGATTTGGTTACCCTATAATTTCGCTCGATCGCCAAAAGGTTCTGGAAATATTGTTCGAAAAGTATCCTGCCACATCGAATGTGATGACCGACAAGCGTGTGTCGGAAATACGTCTTGGAGATCAAAGTGTTAGTGTATTGACAGACGATGGTGATGTATTTGAGGGCGACCTTATTGTGGGTGCAGATGGCGTCCACAGTCGTACTCGGTCAGAGATGTGGCGGTTGGCTGATGCTACGGATCCTGGGTACATCTCGCAAAGGGACAAGGAAGGTTGATAAGCTCCCTTTTTTACTATCATTATTCAATAATTTTCAAACGTTTTGATGCTAACATCCTCGTGACCTTGCTTATTCAGGTCTCAAGGTTGAATATAAATGCGTGTTCGGGATATCGAAGTCGATACCTGGCCTTGAAACTGGAGAGCATATAAATAGATACGGAGATAAGTTCTCTGTGATAACCTTCCATGGTAAGGATGGAAGAGTGTTCTGGTTTATTATCCAGAAGCTTGATCAGGCTCATTTCTATCCAAATGTCCCTCGTTATTCACCCGAAGACGCAGCCAATCTTTGCGGGAAGTTGGCCGATGTCCCTATCCTGGGGGATATCTGTGTGGGAGATCTCTGGGAAAATCGACTTGTTGTATCTATGACTGCACTCGAGGAGGGACTCCTTGATACCTGGCATTTCCATCGCATAGTCCTTCTTGGGGACAGCGTGCACAAGGTAATGACCCGGCATAGACCATTCATTGATATCGCAAGGACTAAAATATTTGAACTATCAGATGACGCCAAACATTGGACAAGGTGCCAACACAGCCATTGAGGACGCTGCCGTTCTAGCCTCATTGATTCATCGACTTGTTCATGTGGATGGTATTTCCAGCATCTCCGACTTTCACGTTGAATCAATCCTTCGAGAGTATCGAAGCTTGCGATACGACCCTGCAAAGAGCACATACGAACGATCTAGGTTTGGTGCTCGTTTCCACACGCGAGATGACTGGGCCAAGGCTGTTGTCGGGCGTTACGTTTTCCCTTTTATAGGTGGGCTGGTAGAATATGGAACTGAGAAGGTTCTGGCCCGAGGTGAAATGATTGATTTCCTTCCATTTCCCGAACGATCAGGGCCGGGTTGGATTCAAAAGTCCCCCAAGGCACAGAAAGCCGCTCGGCTACAGTGGAGACTTCTTTGGATTTTTCCTCTCACTTTATGTTGGGCTTTCTTGTGGATTCGACCTTACCAAGCGTGATTTTTCAGTAGTTACGTACCGCGAGATTTGAAGTAATTTATTGGCACCGAAGTCACGTACAACTAGTAAACATCTCGCGCGTTTTCTCTAGCCGCATAGCCGCTATCGATGTAATTACTTTAGCGATGGTCATTGTGCCTAGAAATTTTCACAGATTCGATACGGGAGGTGTTTTCATGGCATCAAGCTAACTGAATTAAGAGTGAGCTTGCATATATCACAATGCATTGGAAAAAAATAACAATGTGCGTGTAGGAGCCCTGCTGGCAAAATGGCTAGGTAAAGCCTACACACGTATACTTACATAGTGATCTACCCAAGATATGCTCAAATTAAATATGATAGAATCACTTGCCAGCCACGACATCCCTGTAGGCCGGTATTACAGTGTCATGACCTGATCTCCCACTCCTATTCATGACACATGGAAAGCAAGGAGTGCCAAGTAGTTGGCTTTGTTTTTCTGACACCAGTCTTCAGCCAGCCAGGTGGTATGCTTGTTTCATTGCCCAGCTCTCGTTTATTCTCCGTCTATCCATTCCACCAGCTTCTTTGCTTTATCAACTCGTTTCTGTGTTATTTTTTTGCCTCCCCTCTGATCTTAAACTTCACATCTTACCATTCAGCATACTGTGAGCAGGCTTCTTTTTGTACACCGAAATGGCTTCAGTAAACGAAAAAGAGGCACCCCAAACTCAGAGCAAAATACTTAAATTACTTCCTTCTTCCTTGTTGCCATATGCTGAATTGGCACGAATCCACCGCTTGTTGGGATTATACCTCAATACTTCCCCTTATTTTGTCGGTATTGCTTTTACTGCATCAATTGCCCCAGAAATTCCAGTGTCCATTCTCCTCCATCGACTTGTGCTTTTCTCTATTTGGTCTTTCTTCCTACGATGCGCTGGATGCGTTTGGAATGATCTCATCGACTCAGACCTAGATGCACAAATCGCTCGAACAAAATCCAGGCCGCTGCCACGAGGCGCCATATCAAAACGGAATGCTGCCATTTTCACCGTTACCCTCTTTGCCTGTGGTAGCTCGGTTTTGCTTTTTCTTCCGTCGCAATGCACCATTGAAGCTATCATCAAAATCTTCTTCGCCCTTCTTTATCCTTTCGGCAAGCGATTCTCAGATTACCCACAGGTAATTCTGGGGAATATCGGGTGGGCTATCCCGATGACAATGCATAGTCTGGGAGTAGACCCTCTCCAACATCTTATACCTACCGTGTGTATGTTCTTCTTCATTGCGACAGTCATCATCATGGTCGATGTCGTCTATGCGTGCCAGGATACTGAAGAAGACCTGAAAGTCGGCGTGAAAAGCATGGCTGTTCGCTTCCGAAACTCCATCCCTATTCTGGCTTATGGGCTCTTCTACATATCCACCGCTCTTTTTGCATCTGTGGGGCTGCTCACTGGCCTTGGCCTCCCCTTTTTCGTTGTATCCGTTGGCGGGCATTTCGTTGGGTTCAACAATCTCCTCAAGGCGACCCAAATCGGGAAGTCCTCGGGACTGGAGCATAGCGCAAAGGTATATTGCTTGCTGAGTAGTATCTTCTGGGTGCTTGGGTTTGGAATTGAGTACTGCCTGCGCGGGAACTAAATGCCACATTACAACCGAATCGTTGTCTTGCCTAGTACGATTTCAGTGGATGATCTGGGAACTCCCTTTCCTAGTTAGTTTATTTGATGTCTTATGTAAGTAAAAAATTGGACTGCTCCGTTGTCCAGACACGTTTGCTCATTGTAAGGGGTTGTTTCCCCAGGGATCAGCATGTCAATGGCCAGTTGAATGTGTATTAGTCATGTATTTTTATACTGTTGACTGTCTACTTCACACCCTTTCGAAGACTCTCACACCATCAGAACGAAGTTGTAATTCAACCAGAGTGGGTTGAACAAGTCAGAGCTATGGTCGAGCAGCATATCCAACCTCAGCTACACTCCTTCACTTGTTCCGTGTTCAATGAAATAGGCTAGGTCACATTTTGATCAAAGCTAATCAAACTATTACTTTTCGGACTTGAGTTCTCTGTCTCAGATAACTCTGTACTTCCATGCAAATATATCGGCAAGGTCAATTTGACATTAAAGGCACCCTTGCATGGCATAGATATTGCTTTTGTACATTCACTAGTTCCAAGTGCCACTCGAAGGATCCACATAGACATTCACACATTCCATCGATCTCCAATCAGGGATCATTTGAAAAATGCTGGCCTGGGTTGATGATAAGGGGGTTGAAAAATAGCCAATTTTAAATACGCCAAAAATTTTTGAGACAATGTTGTTGTGCGGAATATCCTAGTAGTGGCCTCATCATCCGATTGTTCAATATCCTTCCAGAAAGGAAACACGAAAGGCCTGTCTTGCCATTATGGCCGACACCGATGGTGCCGAACAAGCTGGGGCGCGCAAAAGCCTCAGCACAACGACAAGCAATAACCCAGAGGGTTCCTCCCGTATTCCATCGAGTCAGGATCAGCAAATTTCCATCACCCAAGTCTGGAACAAACACGCAGACCCGATCCCTCTCGATTCTTCTCAGTTCGACCGGCACCAATGGGCAAAGCGAAATTTTCACATCCTTGATTCGACGGTTGGTGACGCTCCAAATCGTGGAATTCTGTTCGAAAATCTCTCCATTCAAGGATCTGTCTCGTGTCAGCAAGTTCAGCCGACAGTTCTTTCGGCTTTCATACATCCTGCCGTATCGATCGTCAAGCTCCTCTATAAACAAAGCAACGAACAGCGGGTTAACATCGTGCACACTCTGGATGGGCTCATTTCCAATGGAGAGTTGCTTTTGGTGCTGGGTCGCCCAGGCAGCGGGTGTTCGACCTTCTTGAAGGCGATCTGTGGGTATCTGGACGGCTTGGTCATAGACCCAGCCAGCAGGATACAATATATGGGTGTCCCTATTGCGCGGATGACAAAGGAGTGTCGCGGGCAAATTGTATATAGTCAAGAAGAGGATCATCATTTTCCGCATTTGACCGTTGGCGAAACCCTAGAGTTTGCTGCGTATGCACGCACACCACATACCCGGCTGGGCATGAATCGTGACGAGTATGCGAAAATGGCGGTGCAGGTTGCCATGGCTCTGTTTGAGCTTTCCCACACGCAGGACACACAAGTGGGCAATGAGTATATTCGTGGAATTAGTGGAGGAGAAAGAAAACGTGTGAGGTGAGTAATCTCCGGGCTATCTTACTATCTCATCCTCATGAAAGATTTCCATGAGCTGACCGGTCAATGCGAATATGCAGCATAGCCGAAATGGCATTAGCGAGAGCACCCATTGGGGCCTGGGACAATAGCACAAGAGGTCTTGATGCAAATCGTGCGCTTAACTTTGCCCAAGCCCTTCGTCTGTCAGCCAATCTCACAAAAACTTGCCACGCTGCCGCCCTTTCCCAAGCTTCAGAGCCTATCTACAATACCTTTGACAATGTCACTGTTCTTTATGAGGGACGGCAAGTATATTTTGGCCCTTGTGAACATGCTGTGGCATATTTTGAAAAGATGGGATGGAAACGTCACCCTCGACAGGTCAGCGCAGATTTCCTCACTTCTGTCACCAATCCAAGTGCACGGGAGCCCCAAGGTGGAATGGAAGAGAAGGTCCCGCGGAGTTCGCAAGATTTTGAGATATACTGGAAACAGAGCCCAGAGTATGTAGAGCTTCGGGAGAAGATGGAAAATTACTCCCAGAGCTTTCCTGTTGAAGGACCAGAAGAACGCAAAGTGAGCCACGTCAACCATACTGAGCAGGCTGGCGACATTCGACCGTCTGGCCCTTTCCTTCTCTCAACACCTAAGCAATTACGATTGTGCCTTGTCAGAGCGTACCGACGAACTAGGAATGACCGCGCTGGTATCATTGCGACCGCAGTGGTACAAATCGTCATAGCGGTCCTTATCGGCTCTCTCTTCTACAACATCCCTGACGCCTCTGCTGGACTTTCCCAGAGAGCATCGGTTATCTTTCTGTCAGTTCTCACGAACAACTTGATTGCTTTGCTGGAGATCAACGTCCTGTACAGTCAAAGACCAGTTGTGGAAAAACATGCTCGTTACGCATTCGTTCGCCCCTTCACCGAGGCCCTCGCTGGGGTTATCATAGATCTCCCCATCAAGCTCCTCCGTTGTCTGCTCGCCAATGTCATTATATATTTTATGGCAAATCTCCGGAGGGAACCTGGGCATTTCTTCATCTACATCCTCTTTCAACTCGTCTCGGTCATAACCATGTCCGGGCTCTTCCGGTGCTTGGCCACAATTACAAGAACACTCAGTCAAGCGATGGCTCTCGGTGGAATTACTATTATCTGCATTGCAGTGTATACCGGTTTTACTATACCACAGCCCGACATGCGTCCTTGGCTTGGTTGGATCCGATGGCTCAATCCAATTTTCTACACATTTGAAGCAGTCATCGCCAATGACTTTCATGGCTTGCGAGCCAAATGCGTTAATTATTTACCAGACTATGGATCTTTGTTGGGCTCATCTTTCACTTGCTTGGAAATGGGTGCTGTCGCTGGAGAGCACTACGTATCTGGAGACAGATACATTGAGAAGCATTACGATTACTCCTACAGTCATCTATGGAGGAATTTTGGGATTTTAATTGCGTTCCTTGTTTCATTGCACGTGCTATATCTCTTCCTTACAGAGCTGGTCCCAGGCACTGCATGCGCTCCCAAGACGCTATCGTTTCTTTCTGGGTACATCGCAGGAAAATTGAGCCCTGACGACGAAGAAACGGGGCAGCAGCCCAAGGTATTGAAAGAGCTTTCGACGTCTAACTTGCAGTCCCGCAGTTTGTTGCCAAAGCAAGAGAAGATACTCACTTGGCAGGGATTGTGCTACGATATTCCAGTCAAGGGAGGGACAAAGCGGCTGCTGGATGATGTTAGCGGCTGGGTCAAGCCAGGGACCTTCACTGCTCTTATGGTATGTAACATTATATAGCCATTCATTTAACTATGAATTTCCATGCTAACTAGACCAGGGAATGTCTGGTGCAGGAAAAACCACCCTTTTGGACGTATTATCACAGCGAACGACTTGCGGCGTTGTGACAGGGGAGATGCTAGTCAATGGTACCGGCCTCAATACTAGCATCTGTCGCAAAACCGGATACGTCGAACAGAATGATCTTCACTGTGAAACTGCCACAGTTAGGGAAGCTCTTCAGTTCAGTGCAGCACTGCGGCAACCCCGGTCTGTCTCTATGGAAGAGAAGTATGCATTCGTCGAGGACGTAATTCAAATGCTGGGAATGGAAGAATTTGCCGAAGCCATCGTGGGGAACACTGGTGAAGGATTGAACCTTGAACAGAGAAAGCTTCTTACTATCGGTGTTGAGCTGGCTGCAAAGCCTGAATTGTTGATTTTTCTCGATGAGCCTACTAGCGGACTGGAGTCACAGAGCTCCTTGGCAATTTGTTCGTTTATGAGGAAGCTCGCTGATCATGGACAAGCCGTGCTTGCCACTATTCATCAGCCCAACGCCGTCATGTTTGAACAATTCGATCGCCTTCTGCTATTCGGTAAAGGCGGTAGGACAATCTACTTTGGGGAAATTGGGAGCAATTCCCGCACTGTTCTAGATTTTTTGGAAAATAACGGCGCACGTCCATGCGGGCCAGCCGAGAATGTAAGCTACAATCCACCATGCTCCATGATACTCAGATTCTATGGCTAATTTATCTCCTCGCAGCCAGCCGAATACATACTGGAAATGGTCAGCGGAGACTCGCAAGACAGTTCTCAATCGATCGACTGGGTGGATATTTGGAAGCAGAGTCCTCAAAACCAGGAAGTCTTGAATCATCTTCGTCAGATCTCTTCAAACTCATCTCAGGCCCCGATCATCGATACACAAAACGAGCTTGAATTCGCCATGCCAATCACCGCTCAGTTATACCTGGTCATGAAGCGTGACTTCCAGCAATATTATAGACAGCCGGACTATATTATAGCAAAGCTTGCTTTGGGCATTGTATGCGGCCTTTTCGTCGGGTTCTCCTTCTGGATGTCCGACAACTCGAACCAAGGGTTTCAAAATACTATGTTTAGCTTATTCCTTCTATGCACCATATTCTCCACCATGATAAACCAGTGAGTCCTCCTCTCATATCCCTCCCACGAGAAAATAAGGAACTCACCGTGAACAGAATTATGCCAAAATTCATTGGCAGGCGGACGCTTTATGAGCTACGCGAGCGACCTTCTAAGACTTATTCCTGGAAGGTATTCATTTTTTCACAAATTGTCGTCGAGCTTCCTTGGCAGGCTTTGCTTGGAATCTGCACATGGGCCTCTTTCTATTTCTCTGTCTATGGTGGAAAGCAAGATTCACAGCAGCAGGGCCTGGTGCTTCTTTTTGTATTGCAATTCTTCCTATTTGCTTCCAGCTTCGCCTCATTAATAGCCTCTGCGGTGCCTAGCCCAGTCCTTGGCAGCATGCTTGGTCTCTTTATGTTTGTGTTGTCCTTGCTGTCGAACGGTGTCATGCAACCGCCCAGAGCCTTACCACCATTCTGGAGCTACATGCACAGGGTTTCACCTTTAACCTATTATGTCGGCGGTATCAGTGCGACTGCACTACATGGTCGTCCAATTCATTGCTCGGATCGAGAAACCGTCAGCTTTGATGCCCCAGCAGGACAATCGTGTGGAGAGTATCTCGGAAAATATCTGGAGAACGCACCTGGAAAGCTCTACAACTGGGCTTCCACTGGGAAGTGTCACTACTGTCCTCTCCGTTCGGCCGATCAATATCTTGCCAGCCGCGAGATTTTCTGGAATAATCGATGGCGGGATTACGGGATCCTTTGGGCTTACTTTGCCTTCAACATCTTCGGCGCCATCTTGTTATACTACCTCTTCCGAGTTTTACCATATTCCCGAGCAAACAAGGTCAAAAAGAGGGCGGCCTGAACCCTCATGATTGAGAGCTAGCGACATTATTATTTCACTTTGTATTTCTCCTTTTTTTTACCATCATTGCTCGTGATGTTATCAATAATCTTTCCTTTCGTTGTTCCTTTCATTGTTATTCTATCCCATGGGGGTGGCTGCAGTCTAGTAGTCTATATGCCAGAAGCTACCCCAATTACTGGACTTTGTTTTTTAAGGCTTTAATTATCTCCGCTACCCTTTTGAATATGTATATTAAATCCATGTAGTCTTCCCTATCCCATTGATGTAGTCTGGTAGATTTTAGGTGAGGGCTTTTTTGTCAACTACTTAGACCTAATACTCGACTGGCTACTGCATACAGGGTAATTTACCCATCCTATCCTCGGACCGTGGAAGTAAAGTGCATATATTGATTAGTCATGTTATCCGTGGAAATTTATGTTTTTGTCATATTTTATTAGTTCGAGAATTGAATATTATGAAAATAACATTATCAGACAGCCACATCTCTATCACTTTTCCTTCACTATGGCTCTTTTTCTGCCAAGGTGTAGGGTGGGGCCTTCTAAAAAAGGGTTTACGGCACGGAACGATCTACAATGGACGGAATGGGGCAGGAGGCGTTCGTGCATTACTGGATCGTCGTCATACATTCTCTCCAAATTGAATCCTCTATCATGCATCTCGGCGCCAATCAGTCTAGAACTAGGTAGAATGGGATCTACGTAATGCGTCTTTACGGTTTGATTGACCGAACTTGTCTGATATCACGTCGAAAAATGCCTCATTGCCTTGCGTGGAAATATACAGCTTATTGGAGAAAGCTACCAGTTCAGCTCCACCATTTCCAATAGCTCTAAGCATTGTACATAGTGCATCGAAGGATGGGTATTATGTAATGACAACAAACCTAAAGCTGGAGCACAGATAGAAAGCTTTATATAAATACCCTCTACATACACACCTCTTAACTATATCCCATTTTCTTGCGTGTATAATCACCCAAAGCTTTCCTAGTGCCATTTTCTGAACTCAACTAGTCTCTCAAAATGCAGCTCTCATCCTTCCTTTTTGCTACTATTGCGTTGGCCGTCTCCAGCGCCTGGGCCCAGGCCGAGGGTGCCACTTCTAATGATCCTACCTGCCTGCGCATCTGTCGTGATGACCCTGTTGAGTGTCAGGCCGGCTGGGTCTCTACCCAGATTGGCGCCGAAGGCGAGGAGGTATGTATCCACAGCAAATATCTTGTGACACGATGCTGATATATTGAGAAGCCCTGCTGGACTTGTTGCAACAAATAGACTAGCAACATGACACCAACGAACGATGACAGATTTCCACTATCGAAGATATATATGCTTAGAGGGTACCATGAGCCCATCGCCCCACGGCATCACATTTTGTAGTGCTCTGCCTTCAGAAATCGGTGCAAATTATATTGTCATGTTTGTTAAGCCACCGCTTTGGTTTATGTTTGGGCTACACATCTGTACTTTTAGTTCAATGATGCCGTATTTGCTCTGAAAAAATTCATGGTGGTGATTGTTCTATTCAAGAACAAGGTCTCTTTCTCTGAATGAGATTAACATATGGCAACCAAAAACGTTCGGGATGCGAATGCTTTAATACTCTATGACCAGACCGTACGCACAACGTATGTTGTACATATTTCGTGCGCATAATCCTTAGTCAATCATCCCCTCCATGCTAGATTATAAATAATGAAGTTAATCACTTATTAGATATGCTCGGTCCAATAGATTTCGGACCCCCGATACTACATCACCACCTCAGCTAGCCACCTGAATCCTCAGCTAGCCACTAAATTTGTGACGGCACGACAAAACCTAGCACGGCCATTACCATCCTATCATATTGTTTCGAGCTTTTCAACAGACCCGATAAGTTGTTGAACGCGTCTCGAGCCTTTCTATCCAACTGCATCTGTGAGCTTGAATTACGTTAGTTATTTTGTGTATTTCTCATATCGCCTGAGCAGAGTGAGCGTAATCTGGGGGCGGGAGGCCGCGACGAAGGATGGTTATAGTATTGCGAGGGCGGCCTAGTGTTAAATGTTTTTGATCACTATAGCTACTGGCCCAGGCCAGCTCTTCACGACGGCAGATATGGTTAATGTAACTCAATTTAGCAGTAGTCATACCTAGGAAACTTCATCGCGTCGCTTATTCTGTCTTGAAGAGACATCGGTTATCTGTAGGCTTCTCCGGCCACGCCGCACTATTATCACTGCAATATGTGGGATTACGCCCTTCCCTTGTTTTAAATTCATTTTGCAGAGTAGCGAATTGGAATTGCTCAAAACGCTTTGGTATCTGCTATATCTTACCTGTGATCTTTCATTACAAGGTAAGACCCTCCAGTGAAAAAATGACTTTCTGGCAACCCTGCGTTTAGACTGCATACACAAAGCTGGCTATCGCAATGGATATTCTCATTTGAAGAAACTTGAGGCTGGCTTGCATAAATGAGATATTCGATATGAAAAAATACCTACACTTAATTACAAGCTGGAACGATAGTGATAGAGAAGCTTGACTTGCATTTGAGGGTCAATCTTTAGTAAACGATGGGGTTGTTCGCATTGAGTCTCTCCAAGAGCTAAAACGAACTCGTCAGTTGCGCGTCAATAACCAGTAGAACAAGAGAGAAGTCATACCCAATCATTGAGGTCTGCATCGTTTTCTTTGAAATTCTCAAATTGAGCATCCAGATGTTCTAATATTAGATATTAGCCTGATTCTTATTCTTTTTTTTACCTTTTGGTTCCACAGTCATCACTCACCAGCAGTCACGTTCATAGTGTCAGGAATGAGACTATTCATCTGCCAGCTTTCCAAGAATTTGGTAGCCTCAGCCGCATTTCCTACCTGGCTGAGGTCGTAATGTACAGCTGTTTAGGTTAGCAATATCCTTGAAGAAGAGCCACAACAAAAGCTTACCTTCAGGTCCATAGCCGTTGGCCTTCACAAATTGGACCGATGCACGTATTTCGTTTTCGAATGTTTCAGTAGGCTCCTCGTTTGGGCATCCATCGGTGACTGTCAGAATAAGGAGTGGTCGCTTCAATATCTCACCCTTGTTCACTGGACCATAGAGGAAGTCATTCAAGACTTTTTCCCTTAGGTTTGTACCCAGTTTAGTTGACCCACTAGGAGTAAAGTTCATATTCGATGGAAGATCGTTGGGATTGAGGTCATCAAACTTGTCGCCCTTGTTGATGAAACGAAGATGCACAAACGTGCCTTCTTCGGGAGCAGCTTGCGTAATCAGGCTTGCCATTCGTTTGACCATAGTTGTCTGTCGGTTCATACGGTCATCGTCTTTCATCGATCCACTGTCGTCTAAAGCGAACAAGTGTGAGCTTGGCGATCTTATGAAAGTGATTGAATTTGACTTACCACAGTACAGGATAGGCTGGTACAATGCCTGGCGGGACATAATAGTCACGTTCCTGGGTGTTGCACCCGGGAAGGCTGAATCTTTCAGGATCTTCGCTGCGTTCTCTGCTACCTTGCCTACATACTCGTTACCGGCAGGGTAGAAGTCCTCAAGACCTTTTGCATTGATAAAGCTCTCAAGGTTTGCCTTGAACTCTTCTGCCGTACGGGGTTCCGTGGTTTGCTATTTCACGGTTAGTCAGACTAGACATGAATGTGGAGGAACAGATGCATACGCCAGCTGCTGGTTCCGACAATGCAGAAACACGTTTGATGGCGTTCAGGCCGACGTCCTTGAAGTTTTTGAAGTAGGCCAGAGCAAACAGACCAGAGCTTACGAGAAGATTCTCCAGCTCGGGTTTCCATTCTGGCGTTTCGTCATTGGGGCGAATTGCCTTGTGCACGGCGGTATTGGTAGACTTTTCAGCAAGTTTCTTAGGTGTCTCGCCAAGCTCGTTTGATTTGTCCATGGCTGCTCCAGCCTGGATGAGGGCGCGAATAGCCTCGGAGCTAGTGCCTTGTCGAATTGCTGACATCAGTGGAGTGTCACCCTTTGGCTTTGAAATCGGCTCATCTGGCTTGGCGCCATGCTTGAGCAGAAGCTCGACAATACGGCCGCTGTTTGGTACTTGAGTGGCTGCATAGAGAGGACTCTTGCCATCCGGAGATATTCTGTTGGAGTCGGCACCGTTCTGCAGCAGTAGTTTTACTGCACCCACGTGGCCGTTTCGGATTGCAAGGTCAAGGGCTGTATCTCCATAGCTATCCTCATCATTGACCTCCACCTGGATGAGGAGTTGGCCAATGTTCTGCAAGCTGAGGGTTCCGCTCTTCGCGTGAGTGTGAAGGTTTTCGGCCATGACGAAGTTCTCTGTCAAGAAATGGTGAGCGAAGGCCTGTTAGAACGGCTTTGAAAAAGATTAATCTGCTGATTTCACGGCAGCCGTACTTATATCCCAATGAGAGGCTATGACACCCCCTCCGCGGCTTTCAAACAGCTCCATCATGCCTGTTAATACGTAATGCCTGCAGGCTCACCCCACTCCTGTTCACCGAGGCGATGTATCATCCAGCCTGTGCATAATCCAAAAAAACTATATCAATATATCCACGGTGATGAACCAGCACTAGACCATGGATTCAATAAACTTAGGTCAAGTCAAAGAATGGTGCTCTGCTGCATCCGTCATTGGTCAGCAGGAGGTGACATCAACGTGCCAATTACCCCAGCTGAAGGGTTCAGGAGAGTTGCATGCCAGCCACGCCATTGCGAAGATCTCAAGGTCACCGCTAGCTCCTGAAGGCTGGCCCATACTCAGCTGAATGATTCGCTCAATTAAAAGCTGATTGGTTCACTCCCAGGTCGTGGAACCTCAAGCTGAAGCATTGTGCAGTCGGTGGCATCTTCTCACGGTATCTTGTTAGAGTCGATATCCTAATCTAGCATCATCAATAGTTATACCACATTTAGTAGTTCAATATCGATAGTTTTTTTTTCTTTCATTTTAGTTGAACATGGCTCTGTGCACTTAGCCTAGTACCTGCCTTAGAGTATTGGTGAGGCTACGTACGAGAGGCGCAAGTCGCGGTTGCACTTTTGCCAAGACTCCCCTCTTAGGTTTCCGCGCAAGGATACTATAGGATCGTCGTCCTTCTGTCATCGTACAGAAGTTATTGAGGTAGGATTGGCTTTGTGATCTCTATGTGCATATAAGCACAGCACATGTCACATGCCAGTACTGTAAACTAGTAATTAGGTGTAATTTATACAGTAGACCTGACTTCTTTTTTCTTTATATGAATTGTCTACATGAATTGGGAACGATTCCACCAACCATAAACATATATTACGCATTCGCCCTAATGCTCTAAAGTATGATACATCGTCTAAATAGGAGATTAACCAGGCGGAATCGGTGACGCTATTGTTGGCTTGGTGTAAGGCGAGAGGTTCGACTCGCGCCCGGCTCTATGTGGAACGGGTATTGGAAGGCGCACTCACAACGACCACTCTCCGACCACCGGTGGGCAGTATCACAGAAGGGGACTACTGCAATATATCATACATCTACTATATTGTTGCAAAATTCCAACAAGCATTTGCATTCAATCAATAGTATTAGAAGCCGTATAAACTAACATGGGTAAACATGCCAGTAAAATGGTTGAAAGCAGCAGCTCAAGGAAAATCCAGCCTGTCAGTGTTGCAAAGGCTTGGTGTCACACTAGAGTAGTGTGTTTATTATTGTCCCATCTGCAACTCTCGTACTCTCTTTTCTGGAGGCATTTCGTGATTCCTTAGACCGCACTAAAGCTGTCAAACTTTCCAATCAAAGGAGCTGGCCCGAACTCCACCTTGACGACCTGGTGGGAACCATGCCCTGTCCCTCGGACCGCATATAGCAGGCTCGGTCTTTACCGTCCGTGTTCCACATGAATCGCACACACTTCTTCGCGCCCTTGTAGTTGGCACACCTTTCGGCGCAGTCCTTGAAAGAGTTTGCCCTAGCACTGCCCAGGTCCGCCGGGCCCTCATCATCGACTAAAGAGAAGTCAGTATATGCACACTCCGAAACGGGGGTGGGGCAGACAAACGCTTAGCGTAATGAATCTTGAATTTCTCATTTCCGGCGGTGATAATGCATTGATCGTCGCGAGCCTCTGTGACTCGATGATTAGCATCAGATGAAGAACAAATGAGTGACTCTGTAGAGCGATAGAATAGGTCACTGTTCCTTACCAGCGTCATATAGGTTTGTACGGCATTTTCCATTTGCGCCTTCTCCATTACAGTCAACATTCAGAGCATCATATGACTGCTGAAGGGCGTCCAGTCTGTTATTAAGCGATGTGACCTGCGATCTGAGTTCTGCAATCTCATCGTCCTGTTGAGTGATCTCCATATTCAAGCTATTCTTGTCGTTCTCGCATTGTTGCTTCTGGATGTTGAGGTCGCCCTTCTCCTTTTCGCACTTCTGTTGATCTGAGCGGCATTGTTTCTTTTTCTCTTCCACCTCCGCAGAGTGCCGACGGCAATCCACTTCGGCAGATTCCAATGCGAGTTTGTCAGCCTCGCATTGCGCCAATTTGGCAGGGTCCACCTGATTGGTTTGGCAAATTTGGATGGCATGTTCGGCTTGCTCAAGGTCCTCTTTGCATGTGTCCTTTTCTTTGACGCAAGCATCTTCATCCTTGATACACTGGTCCTTGTCTTTAATACATTGAGCCTTCTCCTCGGCACACTTCTTGTCGTCCGGCTCCGGGATCGGGGGTTCGACGATATCATCCACAACTTTAGCGAGTGACAGGAACGTTGGCGCTTGCTTCTGATCCTTGTTGCTGCCCAAGATGAAGAAGCAAGTGTCCTTTCGAGTGCCCTGCGTTCGGAATGAAATCGCTTCACAACCTTCTGATGCGCAAAGGGAAGCACACTCGTGAGCAGTAGCTACCGGTTTACCTCTCGGGTTGAGCGAATTCAAGATGGACTTGCAGGTCCACTTCCAGCGGACATTGTCTATCAAGACCTCGCCTTCTTGCTTTGTTGGATCAGAGCAGCAAGCATTGCGGTCATCCGACTCCAAACAGGATGGAAAGATTTCCGCGAAGGTAATCCACTCTTCATCAGACTTCTGATCCATGTTGTCACCCATGATAAAGAAGCAGTTATTTCCTCCACGGGCTGGCTTGCCATGTGCTTTGAAAGAAGATGCTTCACAGGACACATCGTTTGCACAGAGTGATGCACAAGCGTGAGCATTGTCGGCCTTTTGAGCGTTTCTGGGATTGAGGGACAACAAATTCGATGCGCAAGTGAACTTGAAGGTGCGGTCGTTGATTGACACCTCACCAGACTTTGCTCCACTGGTACAGCAGTCATTGGGAGTAGCGGAGAACAGGCATGCCGAGCTGCCGCTGATCGGAATTTGGTCGGTGGCGAAGGCGGAGGCTGCACCTAGCAGCAGGAGGGAGGGTTTTATAATCATGGTCAACCAAGGAAAGACCTGAACTGTAGTTGTAGCAGGAAACCAAGGGCAGATGCAGGTGTCCAAGCCTATGTAAATGGTTTAGGGACGCGGAGATCAGGCCCTTTACTACCCTTTTCTCCCTATATCTGGGGCTCCACTTGGATGCTAAGACATGATGTAAAGTCATGCGGTCATTAAGGAGAGAAGAGGTGTCAGAGTCATGAATAGATTGAAAAGTTACATGAGTGGATCTAGAAGTGGGTAGCTAGGACTCCGGAATGGTCAGATTATCGAGTTCAGCTCAACCTTCTGCAGGAGGTGGGGCTGCGAGATTGCAGCCCAAAAGACTTAAACGAACAGGTTCAGCCAGCCAATGCTTGGTGGACGGATGGAAGGGGCCGAGAAAGCCACAAAATGCGGTTCGTACATAGTATTGATCCATGCTAGTTACGTAGGATGCATGGTGGAGCTGTGATCTATCGGCAAGGAGGACGCATAATTTATGTTCATGTTTCATATTCCTACCTTAATCCTGCATTCTGCATATACCACTAATACGCTAATTATGACTTCAGCTACCTAATGTCCACCTCCGTTGAAGTTTATGTTCAGGCTGAACCATGGGGACCCCTTAATTGTAGCTCGTTGCCGTTTACAGAGAGAATAACCCAAATTAGTGCTCCTGCCCTTATGATCCATTTTTTGAGAGATCAAGCTGAGTATGGAGTATATTTAGAATGGTTCTGAGAGAAGTGACTTCCATTACTAAAAGGCAATCGGTGATTGGTATAAATATGCAGATAAAAGGAATACGCCAGCAAAATACTACACGCACTAGTTAGTTCAAGATTAATTTGCCATCACTATCAGAGAGAGAAATTCTAATTCATATCTCGGAGCCCCCGAATAGGATAACATTATTGCGATTTTCCTTTCCTACCGAAGCTGGCAAAGGTTCTTCTTTTTTCGGGTTGGGGAAAATGGCTGATGAACAACCGCTGGTCTATGAATTCTCATTCTATCTCAGCATCATAAGAAAAGACTTCAAGTACGATCATTATACAAGAAGGCTTGATTGTCTTTACATCCTCGAGTTGAGTAAGAGTAATTTGTTGCCGGAGCCGATGATCATTGCTAAATTTCTTTTTGAGTGAAATTGTTGCAAGGGGTCAGTGACCAATGCAACGTCAATGAAGTGGCATGCTGCATCTGACTTTCTAGCCCTTAGTATCTCTGGCGCTTGTCATTGATTTTGCAAGTATGGGGCTCTTCCAGTATCAGTTTAGCAGACTAGCGTGCACCAGCCTGCTACAGTAGGAAGAATCGTTAGCAACAGTGTGCTAGCTCCACTTGGACTTGTGTATTATTCAAGTGACAACTAATGAATCCTTGGTTATGTGTGTATATGCTCTTTTTTATTGCTGATTGCTAAATACCTGATTGAAAAGGGGAAAGTCAATAGTGAACTATCAAGAGCTGTCTGTACATTTCGAGATCTAGCAAATCAAGAACTAGATAACTAGACTGCGACATCGCCCGGGCCTTATGTAAGCGGGAATTGGGCCCCATGGATAGGCCCATGGACGGGCCCTACCCTTAGGGCCTACGGGCCGTAGGCGTTGTGGGCGCCCGTGGGCCTTTTTAGTAAGCAAAATTAGGTCAACACGTGATTTTATTGATAGATTTTAAAATATTCCAAGTATACTTGATAGTATTAAATTCATCTTTGCAAGATCCTAAATGCCTTAATACATGCTTTATATAGTTTCATACTATATAATTCAACAGAATGCTCACTGATTGCTAACTGATTACTCAGACTCATCACAGGTGAGTTATAAATTGGAACTATTCCACTACTCTAAACCTATAAGATAGCTTTCTCGGTTTCTACCTCATCCTTTCGGTTGTTCGACTTTCTTTGCATTGTGTGGAATTCATCAAACTATAGGTAGAAACTGGATCTAGAGGCTAGTTGTGGCTGTGAATTGTTATTTGAACTGGATAAGAGGTAGCATTCTGCTAGCCAATAAAAAAAGAGAAATAACTCAGGCGGGAAGATCGCGAATAATTCCGGCCTTCTTCTGTGCAACATATAGGTGGGCATTTCCGGGCGCAGAGGCAAAAAACAAATAGTTACGCATAGCTGATCCTGAGAGACAAGCTTCTCCGGGGATATCTGCTTTCACAATAGCAGACTCTTCAAACCATGGGGTAAGGGGCACAAATGCAGACGTAAGAATTTGCATCTCAACAAACATCAGGGTCTGGAGAGCCAAGCCATTGGCAGTGTTTATTTAGATTGAGCCTCGTAGGGCTCGGAGATGAAGTGCCATACCGAAGTGAAGCGCGAGCAGATCAGACGGGAGAATGGTAAGGATATTGCTGCCCGTATCATGCTCGACTAAGATAGGCCGGGTCAAGTTTGCATCGCCGCCATACTGGAGGGGGTTATTCTGATCTGGGCATATATCTATCTTATGTTAGTAAAGAAGCTCAAGTGACCATCGATATAGCTTAGATTGACGTACCTGGTGCATTTGGGACTCATTCGAAAATGGAAGGATTCTGACACAGATTGGACCATTTGTTGCGGCTAATAATAATAAAAAATACGATAAATGATTAGCTTGAGCTAGCTCTTCATAACATCATATACTCAAGGGCCTCTAGGGGAGGCCTGAGAAGGGTTATATGATATTTGCCTGGTACTTAGTTTGCTGGGTCCTCTGCTGGTAGAACAACGTCTTAAAGATATTATTAGTATAAGCCAGGATGATATGGATATTAGATAACATACCTCACACCATCTCAATGCGTGAGCCGGCACAGACTTATCTTGTCATGGGTCCTTCTCAACGCGAACTCCATCAACCAGGAAAACAGGGGGATCAGTTCGCTGGCGTGGTCCGAGATCGCCAATCTCGTATAGGTGAATGAGTGCTTCTATGTTTACTCTCTGAGCTTGTCCGAAATCTGTGTCCAGAATGGCTTGCAGTTGTTTCACTCGCTCCTCAGGTTGGAGGATGTACGGGATGGGACACGCGGGGCTGAACTCGGGAAGCGGATTAGGCATACTGACAAGCGCGGGGTGGATGTGGTTGGTGGAAAAGGTGAAATATGTGGAGCGCTAGGTGATGCTCAGTGAGCGAGTTTGGTGATTATGTAATAATTAGGGGCGTGCTCAGTTTTAGTGAGCAAAAAGCGGCGAGGTCTGAGCATTAAACGGAAAGGGAACGCCAAGAAATGGCAGAGTAAATCAAGTAGGTACTTCAAGTCCTACCATAGGTACACAAGCAGGAACCCATGTCGTTCCTTCACGGCCTATATCTCCTTTCCACAATGGACACTTGCCATGATCCTGGCAATCCGTGAGAATATATACGTGAGCCTCCAGTGAGTTGATCATTTATGTGGTAATTTTAGCACTTGATGCCTGCTGGCCAGATGACAAAAATTCGAAATATTGCTAGAATATCGCTTCAAAGGTGTCCCATTGCGCCATTCAATCCATCAAAAGAACTGATTTAGAGTCTCCGAGATATCCACAGGTCCCCTCTCTTTCATGACTGCTCGCTTGGCAGGACGATCTCCTCTTTCAGGTGGTTCAGCGCGCTTCTTCTCCCTTCCACGTTTCTGCTTCTCGATATCAAGCTTTTGCATCACAGGATTTCGAGTAAACAATACAATTGACTTTGAATTATACCGAGAGCGGATCACAACCCTATCTCTTCTGCTGTGGTCGACAGTTGGTAGTTTGAACTCCAAAATCGGGGTATTCGTTGGTAGGGATGATGGCCTTCTTGAATGATCATGCTCCTCTGCAGGTATCTGGAGACTAGACTCGTAAACATGAAGCAAGGCCAACAGATGATCATCAATTGTCTTTGACGTTCCATGGGTTTCCCAAAACCAATCGAGTCTGCAGGCCGACCATCCCTTTATGGGAATGATAATATTCGCTGGCCTATTGTATCTTTGAATCGTTTCTGTGATATTTTTACACTCGTACGCCACAATGAGCTGGAGCTCTGGCAGTTCACGCAGAGCTTCCAGTGTCGCAACGGTCATTTCGCGTTGGTGGTAGAATCTGAGAATGCGGAGATGCTGTAGTGCTTTGGATTCAATCCAACCACGCACAAATCCATCTTGCAAGGAGATACCGTCATTACTCACGCCCACGGGTTCCAGCGGTGCGAGACTCGACGAATTTGTCTCACTGTGAACGTCCAGGGCAACCAGATTCTTGATATTTGGTATAGTAGTCAGGTCTGTGGCAGTACAGTATGTGGTTGCAATTGTCAAGATTGCACGCCAGCGAAAGTCATCACTGTTGAGGATACCCATGTAGTCTCTCAGTGGTTTTTTGGGACAGCCAGCATTGAGGCAGTAGTAGGGACTAACCTCATGGAATTGTACAGGATAAACGCTGGCCATTATTTTCCACATGTGCATTGTCTGCTTGTTGCTGTGTAGACGGTTAGATTTGAACAGACTCGGGAATTTGACAGAGGGGTTTAGAAAACTCTCTTATGATGACTTACCACTTTTTGAGGGAATCCCACAGGTATTTTGCCAAATACCAGTGGACGTATTCAAACAGCTCAGGCTTCAGCGCGGACTGGTCCCGCAAAAGTGCTTTCATTGCTGCATGTTTGAGTGATCCAGATCCTCGATCATTGGTTGTCTCCCATCCATGTGGTAAAAAAGGAATCTCATGATACCATGTGGGACCGAGACGTATGAACCCGGGTGGCTGGTTATCTTCAAGGATGATGGACATATCGGAACGAGATCATGGCCAGAACAAGCAGGTATCCAGTGAGAAAATTGCAGTGTAGCTTTCTAACAATGCCCATAGATTATATTATAGGGAAGGTTGGTTTCATCCCGAGATTAAACAACAAATTTCGAGGTTCGGCGCGTGTTGGGAGTCGAAACGGGACTGATTTGATACATTCACGTGACCCTGTTTTATACAGACAATGGGAAATCCACAAGTTTTTAGCAGGCCCGGGGTAGGATTTCGGTCTACCCATTGGATTCTCACAACCTTCAAAGGAAATCATCTTTCTTCGGCTCCCTATCTCGGCTTTAGTACACTTTGATCATGACTTGGCCTACCTTCCTAGCTAAGCATCCTGCTTATCTCCGTTACGTTCGTGAAGTTGCTTCTGGAGAACTTGTGATGCCGGAATACGAACGGGTGAGTGACTACATTCAAGTGACCCTTGATGAATGGAAGTTATGCAGAGGGTTATACAAGAGATTGACTAAGATCATATACTAGGATCAGAAGAACCGTTTGATTTTGCAGGTTGGCGAGCAATATTGTCGCTATCCAGGGTGTACTGTCAGCGGTGTGAGAGTACCAGACCCGAAACGCATGCCACATGAGCATCGGCCTATTATAAACCTATGAAGGATTGTTCGGCTTACTGTTCTTAGCATCCTTACCGGACTGGAAACTTGCGAAAGCATGTAGGCCGTCACAGTGAAGATCTGCAAGTTGCCGACGGTGTCATCGGTCGGATCAGTTATATCGAACAGGAGAAAATTCGAGGTAAGCTGAACGGTCTGACGTTCTAAAACATAGCTAATCAAATGTTTAGCTTGGTACAATTCTCTCTTTGCTTCCGATCCGGCCCCGTCGTCAACCTCCCCCTCGGTCGCAATTTACCGCAGTTCAAATCGCAATATGAACCGCAAGATTAATCGCAGTACCAATCGCAATACCAATCGAAAGGCCAATGCCTGAAAATACCTGAAGAGTATACGTTGTATAGAGATGGTGGAGCTCCGGGCGGGAACGTGGAAGATTGTTGATACGGACGAATAGGATAATTAATTATTAATGAATTATTAATGGGGTTATCCACCCACCCGCAGCCCTAATTCCCTTCCATTCACCTCAAATTAAAGTCTTTTTGAGCATTTAAAATCCTATGGGCTATACATAAACAAAGAAATAAAAATATTAACTATCATGAGTGTACAGGCTTAATATGTTATTAATATGTTATTAACGTGTTATCAGCGTATTATCCATAATTGTCTATTTAGCACTCATCTAGTGTGAGTTTGCTTTGCATTTCTCTTTTGTTCATGCATATAATCAACCCTGTCCCCCAATTTTCTTTCTCTTCATTCGTATTTATGAGGACTAGCGCGGATCGGGACATTCAGCCAAATCAGTGTACGCTAGTAACCTGATCGAGGACCATTTGTCAAATATATATTTATCGCCGGTATAATGCAGTGCTCTTCCCCTTCTAATGCTCTGTCGGCTCCAAATTTGCGAATGGATCAACTAAGCACCTCTTCCAGTGCCAATTCCGATGCCATGAATACTACTCTGCCACAGCCCCTTCCCCTAGTACTCTTTCAATTCTTGCCAACGCTATAATAAGTTCGTCAAACCTTTCTGCCAACCATGCGACCCGAGCTATATATTTGGATCTCGTGCACCAAACCATACTTGTATCCAAGAGGACCCAATTAGGTGATACGCTCTATACGGAAGATGCACGAAGTGGGAGTTCGTATAGCACCCAAGGCTAAATGGCGCCTGCAGCCACAGATCAATATACATATACGATAATGTGGAAGGCCTTTCCCATGCCTGGTCATAAGAAGAGACGATGGATATCAGTTCTTGTCAGAGAGCGGCCATCAAAGCAACTTCTGCCTCGTGGGCAATTTTCTAGCAGACAAGATCGAGGTCAAGACTCGTGACGAGGAGTTTATGCTCTAGCAAGTGGTTTGGGTCTACAGCATGGAGGACGTCTATCCATAAGATCAAATGAAGGTCGATTGTTCGTACCGTGAGTTTCGGCATTAAGAAGCTTGAGAAAATATCGAGATCAACAAACGAGAACTAGCTAGGGTAGCGACATTTATCACTACTTGGTTACAATCTGGGCTATCTCTAGGGCTACCTTCAGGGCTTTCACGTACACATGCCTTAGCCCTGCTCATTCCTGCGTGCATACCGACTCCATGTACGTATTTTATACCCCTTCCAGTAGAGCAAATAAGGAATAGGTAAAAACAACAACGAAAGGCAACCCAACAGAGTCAACGTCCATGCAACGCCAAGGTTGCTATACATGATTTCCGCGATGATAGCCATAACACCGGCAGCAACAAGCCGCGTCATCTGAAGACAGGAAAGCGCACTTGCAGCATGTTCCTCGAACGCATCGGCGACGTACTGGTAGGCCGAGACGAAAACGCACAATGTCCCAAAGCCATAGAATACCGAAGCGATAAGCGGGCTCCAGAAAGAAATTGAGAGTCTGGCCGTCCAAGCCATCCAGAATAGCGAGATGGGGATAAAAGGCGCACCGAACATGGCCATATATAGACTGATCTCCGGATCTGGGCGCTTTTGGCCTCTTGCACGGCTGCGGTAAATCGCCCTACGGAGGAGCCACATTGAAATCGGGAGTGTCAGTGCTGAAAGAAGGACTCCGACCTCAATGGCCAAGAATGCGAGGGCGGTCGAGGTCGCGCTGAAGTTGTTTGCCTTTTCATAGATGGAGACATAGCCGGCGATGAAGGTGTACAGGATCAAAAAGAGGAGAGATAGAGAGAGCGAGTGGATCATAATGATTGGTTCTGTCACAAAAAGTACCAGCGGTCGGTATAGCGAGGTACGCATGCGCTGGGCGAACGTGGCTTTTCTGAACTCCAGCGGGGACCGGTACCGGTCGTCGCCTGTCAGGCGGCGGAGCTCTTTCGCTTTCCAGTACAGCAGGATTGGGCTGTATGTCTCGGGCAGGAACAGCAGAACCGGGACCAGGACAAGTCCGGCGAGAATGATGGTCATCCAGTCCACCCAGCGCCAGCCTGCCGATTTAGCATGGACGGCGAATGCTCCTGGTACTGGGCCCACCAATGGACCAGTGAATATGATGATCGAAAAGATCGGAAAGATGTATACTCGTTCAATGCGTGACCAGATGTCCACGATGGATGCTGCTGCTATAACCGCCGGGGCAGACCCGAAGAGTCCAGCTAGACCGCGGCAAACAGTTCGCTGTATCACATTTTGGGAAAGCCCTGCGCCCATGTCAAACAACATGAACCCGATCATGGTGGGTATATACACGGGGGTGCGCCCAACGACTTCTGATATAGGTCCTGTTGCCAATGCGCCTACTCCAGCACCAATCAAGAACATAGCTACAGAATCTGGGTCAGTCTGGTTGAAGTCATTCAAATATTTACCCACATACCAGTCGGCAAAGTCTCGACCTCGAAGCTAGTATGAAACAATTTCTTGGTTGATGTGAGAGCAGTGGAATCGATCGTGGATGACCAAAAAATTACGCATCCAGTCAGCGAGGTGATTATAGTCGTCCAAACTCGACATTTGAGTGGCCAGTTGTGAGGATCCATTGTGTCACAGTCACCTTCAAATGTGACGACAATGAGTTTGTTTTTTTCTCCGACTCGATATCAGATTCACTATCCGTTAAGGGATAACCCGGCCGAGGTCTTTCAACGCCAGTCACCATAATATCAGGCGTGTTTCCCAGCGTCTCTTCTGAGTTGATGGTATGCGGTTCGTTTGTGATTCCCGGGTCGTACTCGGCGCCCTCGACATCTCCTTCCCGCTCGATGTGTGATCGAACGGTATGGCGAGGTTGAAGGGATGGCCCAGTGATAAAAGTGCGATGGCCATGTTCCCTTCTTCGTGTGGCACCCAAGTCATCAGTCGGCTCACGAGGTTCTGTGTGAATCTCTCCTTCACGGTAATAGTAGCGGCCCTCATGGGTCCAGACATCCTCGGGCTTCTCATGTTTTGTAACAAATTGTTGCTCGATCTTTCTGCGGATCCTGCGGTGCTGGCGAATTGACTCCATTGTGCTTGATTCGGGGTCTTGCGTTTCAGGATCGTATCCACCCTTGTTACATTGAAAGATCAGTTGAAGAGGTTCATTCTCCTCGGAGATGTAATTTCTTCGGGAGGCAAAAATGACATATGACGGTCCTATCCCCCTGAGGATATCAAATCCGTACAGCGCCATATCCATATCACTCGGTCAGCTTTCCCGCCCATGACAGATCCCATCACATCGAGTTCAATATGTTTAACTGATGGAGAGCTTGCAGCATGCTGTTCTGGATAAAAAAACACTAGCTGTATTTTCCCATAGTGAAACATCGCAACACCAAAAGGACATGTGTTGGTGGTGCAAATGCCCAGGGTGGGCGGTTGTCTACGATGATGTCAGAAAGACCGATGCTTATCGTCACTGAGCTAGGTAATATGCAGCTCATGTTGGATGGATAAACAGTGGTAGATCACAGATTCATAGGGATTAATCACAAATAGTGCACCACCCACAGGCCAAATATGCACTGGAACACCGAGGGTGGAATTACATACAGGGCAATTCATTAAAACAAAAGCATGCAAATGTTCATTGAAGGCCAGACAAGTATCGTTCCTTGTCTTCATTTCCAGATGCAATTACATCACATAAAGGATATCGGTATCTGTAGGACTTGTTAGAATTTGGTTGCGACCAAGTAACCCGAGAACCTTACCTAGGGGGTGGCTGCAGCTGAGCTGTGGCTTCTGTGAATATTTGGACTCGAGCTCATCACGAATGCTGTTCAAAAGCTGGACATAACTTTGCTGAGGGTTCTTCCGGAGCGCGGCGATGAAAGCCCAGGACATGGCACCAGTGGCCTGACCGGCAATCTGGGCATCTTGACTGGTCTGGTCATCCTTGCTGCCGGACCACATGATGACATCCGCGGGACTAGTCTTAGTCTGCTTGTTGCGTTCATACACTTCGTCGCCCTTGGTGGCCTTCTTTATGAAGCCCATGGCGGTTGACATCATGCTGCCCATGTCACCACGCGCGTATGCCGACACCACACCAAGCAGGCCTTGTCCAGCCTCCTTTGCCAGGTTGGGCTCCTTGAGTACACCGGAGGTGGAGTAGACGTAGGGGAGATCCAGAGCGGAGCCAGAGTGGCAGGAGTCAAAGATGGCTGTAAGACGGACTCCCGGCTGTAGAGTCTGCACCATAATACGGTGCATCTCATCATCAACGATGTGGCCTGCAACCCGGAAATCCACCGGGTAGATAACTTCATCATATCCATCCTCTTCGTCGCCGTCCAAATCGGGTGTCTGACCGCCGTGACCTGGAATCTTGTTAGTTCGCCGCCATAAAAGTGATTGAAGCATGGTTACTCACCAGAGTAGTGGAAGAACAACGAGTCATTGGGACGTGCATCCTTGACTAGCCAGTGCATAGCCCGAAGAATATTTGCCTTGGTCGGCTGGCTCATCGGATTTTGCTGGTCATCAGTCAAGAGGACCATGTCCTCGCGAGCATAGCCGAAGTTCTGGTTCAAATAGGCCGACATGTTTTTCACATCGTTGATACATCCGCGCAGCTGACCTTTCTGACCGAAGTAGTTGATGCCAATCAACAAGGCCTTTCTCTTGCCCGTACAGCGGGAGTATTGGAAGCTATAGCCTTGGGGGGCACCGTGGCCGAAGGCGACGGGGTTGCTAGGAGGGGGAGGGGGCCGCCGCTTTGACCGTAGGCTAAATTTGCGCATTATTAGCTTTCACTCCCGAGAATGTGGTTCTGGTTTGGGAAATGTCAGACGGACCTGGTCTTCCTTGCATTGGTGGCCCGGAGGGTGGGTGCTGGTTGTACCCAGACGGCGGAGCCTAGAAAGTATTGATACATGTCAATCTTGTGTATATCCGACACCGAATTCATCATAACATACATTGTAACCTTGCTGAGGAGGCGGCGCGCCGTAGGACTGAGAGGGCTGGGACGAATGGCTGTAACCGTACGGGTTGGATTGCGGCGGCGGCTGGTGCGGCTGCTGGTGGTAGGACTGGCCAGGATAGCCGCCATAGGAGGGCTGCTGGTGATTCATTTGTCTGCAATCAAACCTTTGTTAGACTCTCAATAGAGCAGAAAGGATAAGCAAGCGTACGGGTACTGCTGTTGCGGGGGATATGACGGCTGCTGCGGGGGGTACCCCGGGGCGCCCGAGTAGGGTGGATAGTAAGACATCACAGGAAGTCTCTTAAGTCCAGGGAATCAAGTGAGAAGATCAAAGAGAACTGAACGCGTTGAATGTGGAGAAGGGGAGATTGAAGGCAAAACAGATCGGAAGTACGGCAGCCGCCAAGCCTTAAACAGGGTAACCTTTTGAAAGCAAAGAATAAAGATCAAATCAAAAGTTCGGGGGAAAAAAGCATTAAGATAAAAGGGGATCCTAGGAACTCGCCACATACATACTCCGAGGTTCATCCACTATCTCCTTATAAGGCTGGAATAACAAAAATAGAAAAGAGGGGGGGAAAATACAAGACAGAAAGGAAAAATAAGACTAATGTACATCTGGACTTTTATATCTGACGTTCATCGGCAGCCCCGATCAACCCCTGTCTACCGTAGAAGCCCAAGACCTTATTGGGCTCACTCAGTAATCCTTGAAGATTTCTACTCAATTTTATAGGAGAAATCAAATAGATAGATCATAAACATCTAAATCGCCCTTCTGCACGTCATACAACTCAAGGAGATTCAATAGCCCTGTCTTGGCGTGGGAAATTGGCCAATGAGATGCAAAATGGATTAAAAGGTCTCGAGACAATACGGAGTAGATTAGAAATAAAAGAGAAAAGCCATACGGAGTACTCCGTTGTACATAGAATATTGCTCGGATCGGCTCGGTCTTGGAAATGCATCTGATATATCATCTGCATGCAATTAAGTTTCAAGGAATACTTTCATGAGGACTATGTTTAAATTGTATGTACTTGGAAAGAAGGTTATCTCTAACAACTCGGCTTCTATTCTCCCTGTACTTCATATTCAATATTCATCTCAACAACGGCTTTGACGCCACTAAGGCCAGAGCAGAGTTCGCTTCAACTGCTTCGTGACCTTCAATCATGCAGGTGTCCTTCTTTTTTTGGGGGGAATATCATCGAGCATCATCCAGTTCGGGTCAAACTCGTTTATCCTCGTCGGGGCATACCGCGGCCACGGCCCCGGAGGGCGCGCTGGGCAGCACCGGGCGGCATACCGCGCTGTTGACCAGGTTGGGCCGATTCCTCATTCTCTGTGGGAGAGGAAATATGGGTTAGCCATGATATAGAGGATGGAAAGTAGTAAATAGTTAACAGGTCACTTACTTATCGTTTCGTCCACACTCAGGATCAGACAAGAGGCTTCCACTGCGGCCTGGATAGCATTGACCTTGACGAGACTGGGCTCCCAAACAAAGGCGAGCATGTTGTCACGCACGCCCTCGTTGTCAAAGTCGACACCAGCCCAGGTGTTACCCTTGCGGTGCTCCACACGCAAGCGGTTCAGGATGTCTGTAGCGTCGAAACCAGCGTTATCACACAGCTGGCGGGGAATAACCTCCAAAGCCTTGGCGAATGCCTTGACGACGGCCTGCTGCTTGTGGGGGACGTTACGGTCGGCAAACCCGTGCATGTAGCTCGACAACTCCATTTCAGTAGCACCGCCGCCAGCAACAATGGTTGTGTTGCGCAGAGCACGCTTGACAATCATGATAGCATCGTGCAGACTACGCTCCACCTCCGCAATGAATTGCTCAGCGCCACCACGCAGGACAAGAGTGCAAGTCTTAGCACGAGGGCAGTCGGAGAACAAGTTGAAACGCTCTCCACCAATCTGGCGCTCCTCGAACGCGCCACAGGTACCTAGGTGGCGCTCCTGGATGTCAGTGCATGTGGATTGGGTTGCGGCTCCGGTAGCCTGGCAAACACGGTCCATATCGTCGGAGGCCACACGGCCAGCACAGAAGATGTCTCGGTCCGCGAAGTACCTGCAAATCAAATCATTAGTGTCTGGACAAGTATCCCGTAGCAAATAGCAAGCACGTACTGTGTGGCAAGATCGCCAATAGGCAGCTTGCTAAGCACGACCTTCGCTCCTGTCTTGTAGATAGCCTCAAGCTTGTTGAAGATGATCTGCCACTCAGCATCGACGATGGCCTGGTATTCCGAGACCTGCTCGACACGGACTTCCGCATTGTCCTTCTCGCTCTTAAGCTCCAGCTCGACGTTCAAGCACACGATACTGGGGTCCTTGAAATGTTTGGGCTGCTGCTCGAAACCGGCGTAGGAGAAAGTCTTCTTGAAGGCGACACCGTCGACGAAAAGCGAATCCTGAAGACCACCACCGGTAACCTTCTTAACACCGATCAATCTCTCGTTGAGGTCATCCTGGTCCAGCGAAAGTACCGCATCCACAACCACTATGATACCATCTCGTCAGCCTCGGGGCAAATTTGCAACCGCTGGGTAGGGGATCCTCACTCTTTGTGAAGAAGTCCGAATTCCGCTTGATAAGCTTGCTGTTCATGGCTGTTGCAGCTAACCGTCTTAGTGTCTGAACCTTCTTCTCCTGGCTGTCTGAGGCATCCATCGTGTCCACTGCAATCTCCTTAACCTTGTTGACTGCCATGGCGCTCGCTCTCCGCAGACCCTTAATGATGGTCTGCGAGCTGACACCCTGCTCAACGAGTTCTCGCACCTCCTTCAGAATCTCACCAGCCAGGACAACCACGGAGGTTGTTCCATCACCGACTTCGGCATCTTGGGACCGAGCGATATCTGTGAGAATGCGGGCGGCGGGGTGCACAATATCCAAAAGCTACCAAATACATGAAAGTCAGAATCATCAACTGCCTCCGGTGATGCGTTTTTATCAGTAGCAAGACGCACCTTCATCACTGTGGCTCCATCGTTTGTAATGGTCTGTCTGCCATTGGCATCCACAAGCAGGAGATCACCACCGTAAGGACCGAGAGTGCTCTTGACTGTTCCTTGCACTGCAAC